AAGTATAAGACCTTTCCTATCTTTCTTTTGTTGTGTCGGTTGATTGTGTGAACTAGTGGCTTTAGGACCTTTGATGCATGTAGTACCGATGACTCTCCTTGTGTTTTGGACTCATGTATCATAAAAGGGTGCTCAGTTGTTCGTAATTTGAAGCAGTTGGTCCTCCATGTTGGAAATTCTAAATTTGAAACATGGGGTAATCCCAACGTGTGTGGCACCGTTCATTGCACAAAATCGGATTTTGGAAGAGATTTTAGTGTTCCTTAGTGGGGTAGGCCTACAAGGTGAAGCTAAGTCGTCTCTAGTACAAGTAAAAATTCCACCGTTGAACGGTTTGCCTACTCGAGGATCTATTTTTAAAGGCACGAATAGAGCTTCCAAACCCCTTAATATAATTGACCCTCCATACGAATTGAGAAAAAGGAGTTCACCGCGCATAAAAACTGTAGTTTGGAACCCCATCAAAGAGTGATGCAAAAAAACAAAAGAAAAAGAAAAAAAATAATAAGGAAAAAGGGTTCCAAAGAGTGAAATTGAATGGAAGAGTACCTAATATGAAGATTACTTGGTTTCTGTGTTGTATGACTCTCTTTATCCATGAATTATATGTCATAGGTCCACTACTTCACATGATCTTGGCTTGAGTCTAGTACTCACATTGAGAGAAATAGGGCATGTCTTAGAAAACTTGTTGACCTCGTAAGCTGCTAAATGATATAGGAAGTCCTCTACCGATGATTGGGGTTTCATGTTTTTGTAAAGGTATGGAGATCTGCATTGGTTTGAGTCGGGTTTTACTGGGGACAAGCAAACGGTTAAGTGTGGGGGAATTTGATAACACTGAATTTGCACATATTTTTACCCCTTGTTTCTGGATTGATTAGCTTTGTGTTTATCATACTTTGGCCTATTTTACGCTATGTTTTGTTCTTTCGTCACATTTCAGATCCTAGCATGTAAAGTGAAGCATATGCGCAAGTTTCATGTCAATCGGAGATCAATTGGCGACTCGGAGGAAGAAACTTGGGCATGAACCAAAGAAGAATGGATTTGTACCTCATTTAATGGATAAATAATAATTTAATCCAGGCATGTAAATAAATAGGACGAGACTACGAGCGTGTGGGATCAAACGGCGACTGATTCTGAGTTCGGATGAGGAAGAAAGGACCGAAACACAATAGCCTATCCAAAGTTACGGGTTGGCCTTCAAAGTTACGGTTGTGACTCCAACGTTGTCATTTTGGCCGTAACTTTAGACTCGGAAGTAGAATGCATTCTAAAATTACGGGCTGCCTTCAAAGTTATAGGCCGGCCGTAAATTGGCCTCTAGGAGCTGTATAAATGCATTTTTGCGGATTTTGAAGAGAGAGAGCTGGGTTTTGGATCCCAAACACCCAAGGGACGAACCCTAGAGAGAGAGCAGCTTGGGATCATTCTTGAATCTATTTTGGAGGATTTTTTCACCATTGGAGCATGTGAATCAAGCTTGGAGATGGATATTAAAGATCTAGATCAGATTTCAGCATTTTCTCTTCTCTATGGAGTAACTTCCCGTCACTTAGGTTTTGAGGAACCCTAGATTTGTATGCTAGGAGGAGCTGTATGAACTCAATTCATGATTGATTGACAATTTATATTCAATTATGGCATTATTTAGAATTGCATGAGTCCTGATCAAATTCCCTTGATTCCTGCTTTGACCTAGAATGATAGTCTCTGCATAGGTTAAAAGAGCAACCTGAATTGGAAGTAGTGAATTGATTGCTTTAGTCGAGAAATCGATTCACTGCTCTGTACTAGAATTGAAAAACCATTAGAGGAAGTTAGGTGTGTTATTGTCTTTGTTAGCTTACGCAGACGGAGGTTAGTCGCCCATCGGGTATTCAAACTGAGAGGGTCTGGATTATTTTAGTCGCGATTCCAGACTTGGATTGGGTGAATTACAACTTGGCGTAACTGCAGACTAGGGAAAATCATACCTAAGTGAGTTCCCAATCTGTAATTAGTAGTGTAACCTTAGTTTAGTTAGTAGAGTAATTTAGGAGTTGTGTTTTAGCGAGTCAACCTGTCATCAGTTTCAAGTGCAGGCCAACAACATACATATCCCGGCTACGTCAATGCAAGGTAACGTGGGTGCCTAACCTTTTGCTCAATGGGGTATGGACCTCCTGGCCCTTTCACCAAGGTGCTCAGTCAAATGAAATACTTGATCGTTGCCATAGATAATTTCTCCAAATGGGTTGAGGCTGAACCGTTGGCGTCCATCACTGAAGCCGAGGTGCGCAAGTTCACTAAAAAGAACATTTTCATAAAGTTTGGGTTGCCAGAATCCATCGTCACCGATCATGGCAAGTAGTTTGACTGTAAGAAGTTGATCGAGTTTTGCGATGAGAATGAGGTGATGTTGCAGTTCTCATCGGTAGCATACCCACTGCCACAAGCCAATGGAAAAACAGACGTGTCCAACACAAGTATTCTTCACGGGCTGCATACCAGGCTCATGGGCACCAAAGGTCGATGGGTGGAGGAGTTTCCTAGTGTGTTGTGGGAGCAGAAGACAACAGACAAGGTGGCTATTAGGGAAACACCCTTTGATCTAACTTATGACGGCGAGGCTTTCATCCAGGTCAAGGTTAGCATCCTGAGTTACCGAGTAGTACACTACGACCAAGGTGGAAATGAAAAATACGGAGTTAACGCGTTGGATCTTTTGGATGAACATCAAGAAGTGGAAGCGTGCGCTTGGAGGAAATGAAAAGGCAAGTCACAAGATATTACAAATATGAAGATGCGGCCACATGGCATCACTGTGGGCGCCCTTGTACTCGAATGGGACTTCAGACCGGATTCCCAAGAAGGAAAGCTGGAGCCTAAATGGAAAGGTCCATATCGCGTTCGTGAAGTCAGTGGCATTGACACATTCAAGTTAGAACACCTCGACGGTAAGGCGATGTTAAGGACATGCAATGCACAAAACTTATGTCCATACAAGATGCCGCTTGAAGAGGAAGCCGCATAACTCGTTAACCTAATAGAGTGGGAGCTACTCGGCCTCATGTTAGATGAATGTGGGTTTTTTTGTCTTTCATGTGTTGTGTCAAAAGAGCCTAAGTTTTTTTTTTTTGCACCGTATCATGTCTAAAGCACCCGTATTGAGTTAAAAATTCCCAAGTTCTGTAGCTCCCGTATTGTGTCAAAAGCGCCCTTATTGTGTTAACATTGCTCGTATTGTATTAGAGCCTGAAAATGTAAAGTGCCCAAGTTTTGCACCCTTCAATTGGAAAATTCGTGTATGTACTAGGTTTTGTTTGGTACGATCGCAAGATAGATAACAAAGCATGTGAATAGTTAAAGCACCCCGCGCCTGCTGTATCGAAAGGCGCCCCGCAAGTTACGAAGCCTTGAAAAATAAAACTATGAAGGATAAATTAAATCCATATACTTGGTGCATTAACGTTCCACAGTTTTGACAAAAGAACCCAAAAGAACAGAGAAATAAACAAAGAACTAAACTGCACATTAACTCAGTCCGCCTCGAAGGTGGCGTCACCGGAACTAGGCACCCCCTTATCCTGAGGACTGGGTGCCGATTTCTCTTGGTTTCCTAGGGCCCCTCCAAGTCTGTCCTCGATAACGAATCTCACCATTTTATTGAGATCCCTAGTAAACTCTGGGCCTTTTCAAGCCTGTCATTATAAATGGGAATAAACGTGAAGGGGTCATATGCGCCTATCATAAAGGGTCATTGAGTGCCATGGTTTGTATTTCGCATAGGTTGGTATCCTGTCATGAACGAGTGATAACGTGAGGGGGGCCTTTAACATGCTCTCATATCAAAAGGAGGCCTATCAATTTGTGGAGGGCACCGAACAGGCGCCTATATCAGATTAAGCGTGCGAGAAAATGTCATATTAACTGAGCGAACGGTCAAAAAAATAGTGGAAGAAACAATTTCTTTTGAGGAGCATTAGAAGGCGCCACATTGACGAGAAGGGGAAATTCGATCAAGGAAGAAACCTGGACGCTGGAGGAGAAAGAAACAGGCACATTGTTGTTGGGAATAGTTAGGCACTCAAGATATCAGACGTTGCGGCCTAACGCGCGGGGGGGGGGGGGGTATTTTTGGGGGTATTACAAAGAGGCAAACCCAAGCAAAAGCCCAAGTGGCTCAAGGGCATGGTGGGAAGCATCACCATTGTGTAAGCCCACATTTGGGCCCAGGAAGGTGGTTTGGCCCAATTGGTCGAGTGTGAGCAGGAAGAGGAGGCGCATAGCGACAAACCACACTAGGCTCCAAAATAGTACGGATTGTAGATGTTCCCCCAGGGGCGACTTGTATTTGTCAAAAAAGGCTGCCATGTTTGTCGTGGAGCCTAGCTTGATGGAGGTACGGAGCATTAAATGTGATACTGACGTAGGGCCGAAATGAAGAAGCCCTGTCGAAATTCAGGGGGAGTATAAATAGTGTCGGTAGGTAGCATTTATGCAGATTGCATTCTCTCACTAAACTAGAGTTTGACACTTCTCTCTCTAGAATTTGGACTAACTTGATTGTTGGAGGATTAACGGGCCGTGCACCCCCTCTGTGCGTCTGTGTGTAGGTGAGGCGCCTTGGAGGGATGAGAACTAGGGAGCGTGAAGAAACGTGGGTCGAAGTATACGAGTTCAAACAATTTTGGTTTTTTTTTTTTTTTTGCATTTGCACATGCAGCAGCCAATTTTCGTATTTTTTCCTTGAACTGCTTTTTTAAAATACATGAGTGTTTGGGGACTCGCAAGGTCTGTTCAAGTGCACAGCATCTCTACAAGTACCTAGGAACAAGGAAGTGGAAAAGGCAGAAGCCCTTGCTATGGAGTTTGTAGCACAACTCACCCACCAACTTCAATTCACTCAATTTCTAATGGATTCGAATTGCCTCAGTTTAATTTTGAAGCTGGCGCAGAAGGACGCGTTGAATACAAAAGTTGGCGTAATCTCTAGAAGCATTAGGTACTATATGACAGCGCCGCGGAATGGAACTTGGCATCATATTCGTCGTGAAGCCAACATGGCTGCTCGCATAATGGCCCATGCGGAGAAGAAATGGAATGAATGTGTAGTGTGGCTAGATAGGCCGCCAGTTTATTTAATTGATCGGCTACAGATGGACGTTGAACAGCCTCTTTTGATTAATGAAAGTCATAGGTTCCATAAAAAAAATACATGAGTGTTTGTTCGATTGTCCCTCATCAGATAATGCAGTTTTGGAGAGTTTTCTCCACGGTTGTATTTTGTTTGGCCGGGTAAAAATAATAAGTCTATTATGATATATCCTATATCCCAATTGTATATCAATGGTCACCATGTTGTTCGATTTTTTTAAATTCTACTTTAAAATTAATTGGCAAAAGTAATGCCACATCAGCACATGGAGTGCTCCCAGCCTCTCACCCATTAATGTACATTTCCTCTCTTTTTTGCCCTACTAAAATTGTATGGGTGGGAACGTTTCCTCCCTCGGCCGGCCGGCCACCATTAATTGCCAATCACTGTAGGAATAGTTATTGCCAAGTAAATTGTATGAATAAATTTAGTTTTCCCCTTCTAAAATTGGATACAGGTTAACTTCGTATCCCTCCGCGACGACCCAGTGGAAAAGTCTCACTCATTTGCTAAACTTAAATAATCGGCAAAAAATCGATCAGGTCACTCACACCATCACAACTTATTTAGTAGTAGCAGACTGACTGGTATGTTCCTGGATCGTTCATGGATTTCTATGTCGTAGCTTTTCCGGTTTATATATTTTGCAATGATATTTTTATTGTTTTTGGCCTAATTGAATCTAATGTTATAGTTCTTCCAATTTAACAATTTGCAATGATACTTTTTGGTTTCCGTAGTGTTGATTTGGCCTAATTGAATTCCAAATTAAAGCTTTAGTTCAGACCTAATTGTTTTCTTACCAACTACTGTTACTATTGGTGCACCATACCCGGCTAATGAACGAGGAGGTTGCAAAATTGAATAAATTGAGTTGTATTGAATTTTGTAGCTTTCACAATTTGAACAGTGGTATTTGTTGTTGGTTTTGCTACATCATTTCTAAGGTTGAATAAATGAGTAAGCAGAAGATTGATGATGTGGATGACAATTTAGTTCCTCGCTCCTTCAAAATTGCACGAACAATTGATACAACTCGATGTTTGTTGGATTTAGATCGCGGTATTTTCTTTTTCTTTATATCAATATAATAACATTTTTTGGGTATCCGTTCTATAAACTGATTGCTCCTAATGTGTATGTAGCAAACGCTTATTTTATAGCACAATCAAGGTGAACCAAGTCCTTAATTACATGAACAACAAGAATGAAACGACGGATCATGTTATATTCAAAGAGGATGGTTGTACCAACATTCTGGTACTTGATAGGTATTTTAAGATAACTTAATTTTGCAATGTTCTATATTTTGGTTTTTATGGACGAATTCAAAATCTAATTTCAAATCAATATTACAGGTTGCAACTATTCACTTTCTTAATTAGCTAAATCCTAAAGCTCAACTCATGGATAGAAAGATCAACAATATTGTTGCCAAAAACAAAAACAAAAACTATATAAGAAATACAAGTATCATTACGTACACCCAAAACAAATAACAAACAATATGACAACACGATGCCAAATATATGAAGATGTTGCTGAGTTGAGAAGAGAAGATAGAAATTCTGTCCCATAAATAAAAAAGATAGAAATTCTACGGTGATCATGCCTCAATTTTAGTTAATTAATGGTTTAAAATAGCAAAATTCAATGGATGTACGTTAAATTAGCGCAAGGTAGTTGTACGCTAGCCTGAACCATATTTTAATAATAAAGCAACCTTAAAGTACAAACTCAAACATGAAGGACCAACATCGCAAACCCAAATGCAAGTATCATTGCGTACACCGAAAACCAATAACAAATAATATGGCAACACAATGCAAAATTCAGAAAGCGCGCTAAAACGCACCGCCAAACGGGCGGGCACAAAACTAATTTAAAGAAGACTAATGAATTTTGATGCTAAGGACTAGTTTAGGAAAAATTCAATACTTGAGGCTCAATACATTTGGTATGTTAATTATGCGCAAATATTATAATTGCTTTGGACATAAAGTTACATTTATACCCTGCCAGAAAACACGGTAGACAGCAAAAGAGGTTACGTGGCAAAACTAAAAGGGAGTGAAGCGTATAATATTTGTTTTAGATTAGATAAGCTGAAAGCGAGTTCTAGGTATCGTGTCTCTTCATCTCCCCTAACCACGATGGGTATTTCATTTGATAGGGTCGATGATCTTCGTGCTGATGGCCACAGAATGACAACAGTGGTGATAGTTTCAATTGTCAGGGTAAGGACGTTTTTTGGGAATGACCGGGCAGCTAGGACGAAGCCGATGGCGGTCTGAAGGTGGTTTGGGATTTTAGTAGCCATGGATTGAAAAATTGAAATTGATGGAAAAATTGAATCGACGGCGGTTAAAACGAGAGGGGAGGAGCCGAAATTAGAGAGGGGAACAACTGAGAGATAAAGCTAAAACCTGTTGAATCTGGATATCATCATCCTGTCTCCCTTGATGATGACGACAACTACGACGATGGTGGTGGTGCTAGCATCTTGTATAGAAAATGATTTGGAGTGTTTTGGACTTTTGGTTCTTGAATCATTACATAGAAGCATAGACCGAGACGTTGTAAATAATCATTGATACAAGAGAAAACAACTTTTTAAAACTTTGTTGTGGGTGTGAGTCAAGCTTAGATATATGAAATAGCATGAGAATAATGACAAATATTGATTTTTTTTTAACATTAGCATGTTATAAATGTAGTCAGAAGTTAATATGTTTTATTAAGGGCTTAATGTCTTCACTTTTTTTATTGATTGACAAAGGAGGCATAAAGCCGAAAAAGCAGAAAGCAGGAGGTAGGCTTAGGCCTCGTTTGCTTCATGGATTTGAAAAATGAAGGTTTTGGTTATAACCTGGGTTTTACAAAACCATGGATTTATGATGGAATTGGTCCATTTGATTTTTCGATAAATCCATTGTTTGCTTGATGGATTTGATAATGAACTTTGCTAAATTCTAGTTGTGGTTATATTATGAATTTACTCTATTACCCTTACCAATCATTATTTTAATTGGCATTATAGTGTTACATATATATATATATATATATATATATATATATAGCAAAGGCTAGCGTACGTCCGGGCGTACGCTAGCCTACCGTACGCCCCATAGAGTTTTGCTATTTAGACAAAAAATTAATCGGAGTTTGGGACATGATACTATACCCTAACCTCTAATGGGTGAATCCCAATCCCCAATTCACTAACTCAAAGGACGAGATTCGTTTAATCTTAAAAATGAAAATCAACAATTCTGATTCGTCGAAATTTTCATTGGTTTTCCTTTTAAGATTAAACGAACCTCATGGTTTGGGTTAGAAAATTAGGGACTGGGGTTCACCCATTAGAGGTTAGGGTATAGTATCATGTCCCAAACGCCGATTAATTCATGATCTATATAGCAAAACTCAATGGGGCGTACGCTAGGTTAGCATACGCTCGGACGTATGCTAGCCTGAACCCAGCAAAGCTTGTCCCATAATCAAATTTTCGTTTCATTAACCAAATATACAACCAGCAATATATAAAATCAAATTCTGCTTATTCACCTGCAGGCTGTAAAAGAATTTTGCTACTTTAGGTTAATGAAACATACTTTACTGCAACATATATATAATAATAATTCAGCAGAGTTTTTTTCATCTGCAGCCTGCATGCTACAATATATATAACGAAACACACAAGTTTCCTATCGCATGGACTTTCTTTTTTCTTTGGTATTTCCTTATCTGTCGATAGGGCTAGTAAGAAAATTAGAGAGGGCAGAGTTGGCATTAACAAAATAAGTGAGGAAAGAGTAGTAAATAGGTATCATGGACTTGAGACCCTCACACAAATTCCACCTAAAAGGATGGAATTTCCAAATCCGTGGGGTCCATGGATTTGGACTCTCAAAGTCTATGGACCCCATGGATTTATTCCTGCTAAATCCATCAAGCAAACGACGGATTGCGTACAAAGTCCATGATACTTCGTTTTTTAGTACCAAATTCATGACGAAGTCCACGAAGCAAACAAGGCCTTAATGTCTTCACTTAGAAACGTGTATTGCATACGTCAATGATTAAACATTATTCAAAAAGTATTGAGTGTTCCATTGAGAAATTACATAATACATACAAGGTAATCTCTTACTAGATTTTTTACCCGACGGGCGAAGTATTCGAATTTGTGTTTTTTTTTTTATGAATCGGATTGCTTTCATTTCATCAAAAGTGGTACTAGCAACACCCTTGCTAGTTAAGGCTTAACATATCAAACCCCATACTTTCCAACCTGTAAACTACGAAACAAAAAAGGAGTCATATATATTCCTACCAAACAAGCCTATAATTTCCTCCCATACAACCTTGTACATTACGTCACAGTCCCTGCATTGCCCCAAATGAACTCTGCTGCACCTCTCTCGCCACACCATGCTAACCAGACTATGCCACATGGCTCGCCCCACTTGAGACTTTACATTGAGACCCAAAACCTGCTGCAGCCAACTTAGCTCACTGTCCAGAGAGGTGAATACCCCTGATCATCCAAACAGCTTTCGGATCATTTTCCTGTACAGCAAACACTCTGCAAACAAATGGTCTGAAGTTTCCAACGAACAATTGCAGAACACACAGCCCAAACTGCCATCAAAACCCCATTTCCTCATCTTCTCTTTCGTAGTAACTGCTCTATTTAGGATTAACCAAGCAATGAACCTGTTTCTGGGGATGGAGTTCCCCTTCCATAATAGATTGAACCAGGTTACCTGCTGTCTCCTTGGCCTTAACGTTTCCCAAACTCTCCTTATTGAAAAGGTCTCCATTCTGTCCTGATCCTAATAGATGTCCTACCCCTGCTGGTGGAAGAATGCACAGACTTTTTGCCTCGTTTTAAGAACCCTTTTCCAGTTCCAGGAACCAGAATTACCACCATAAAGCCAAAAATCTTGGTCTTTCAACTTGTAGGCAATGATCCATGCGACCCACAGAGAACCCTGTTTCAACAACAGGAGCCAAATATGCCTTGTAGCACAAGCAGTATTCCAGGTTTCCAAGTCTCTC